CGTGTTCCCACAGCGAATACCTGAAAAGGAACGCTGAGGAGTGACAGGTGAGAGCTCGGCGCCAGGGGCAGTTTCTGGGTCTCACTGAGAGTTCTTTGTGCTGAGAATCTGAGCAGCGCCGACAGCAAGACAGCACTGAAATACTGAATTAATACCATGCAGGTCAGAGGAGGGCCGCCTCTGAAGGAGACTCCGCCCACACCTGCAGAAGGTTGCCTGCAGCTAGTTTCACCCAGTGTGAATGCACCCTTAAGATTCACTGAAAACTGCAGCAGCATCAGAAACCAAAATCTGGTCCTCAGCTGTAAAGTTTTATAATAATAATAATATAAAGTGGTCTTTATAATAATATATAAAGACCACTGAAGGTCCCCAGAGACCACTGAATGTCCCCTAAAGACCACTGAAGGTATCCTAAAGACCACTGAAGGTACCCTAAAGACCACTGAAGGTATCCTAAAGACCACTGAAGGTACCCTAAAGACCACTGAGGGTCTCCTAAAGACCACTAAAGGTCCCCTAAAGACCACTGAAGGTCCCCTAAAGACCACTGAAGGTCCCCTAAAGACCACTGAAAGTACCCTAAAGACCATTAAAGGTCCACTAAAGACCACTGAGGGTCCCCTAAAGACCACTGAGGGTTCCCTAAAGACCACTGAAGGTACCCTAAAGACCAGTAAGGATCCCCTAAAGACCACTGAAGGTACCATAAAGACCACTGAGGGTCTCCTAAAGACTGCTGAAGGTCCCCTAAAGACCGATGCAGATACCCTAAAGACCAACGAAAGTCCCCTAAAGACCACTGAAGGTCCCCTACAGATCACTGAAGGTCTCCTAAAGACCACTGAAGGTCCCATAAAGACCACTGAAAGTACCCTGAAAACCACAAAAGGTCCCCTAAAGACAACTGAAGGTACCTAAAGACAACTGAAGGTCCCATAAAGACCACTGAAGGTACCCTAAAGAACACTGAAGGTACCCTGAAGACCACTCCAGTTCCCCTAAGGACCACTGAAGGCCTCCTGTGGACCACTGAAGGTACCCTACAGAAAGACCATTGAAAGTCCCATAAAGACCACTGAAGGTACCCTGACGACCACTGCAGGTTCCCTAAGGACGACTGAAGGCCTCCTGTGGACCAATGAAGGTCCCCAGAGGACCACTGAGTGTCCCCTAAAAACCATTGAAGTTACCCTGAAACCAATGAGTGTCCCCTAAGCTAAACGACAGATCATCATCTCAAACTTCACACTACTTTCTTCCCATAATGCACCTGATGCATTGTCTTCTTCAGCTAGACACACCATTTTAATCATGTCCAGAATAACTGTTATTTTTTAACTTCTACTGAATCAGAACCACATGGAAATGTTCAGTGGTCATAATGTTCTGGCTGATCAGTGTACATTTATCATTGTAACATGTAAGAATATACATTTATAAAGTGAAGCTGATGGAGCTAATATTCTCATGGCCTCTGACAATGAGCAGGTGTCTACACTGGTCCTGTTAGATCTCAGTGCTGCATTTGACACAGCTGATCATAATATTCTACTACAGACTTGAATATGATATTGGGATTACAGGAACGGCTGTAAATTGGTTTAAATCATATTTATCTGATAGATTTCCAAAATCTGTAAATAAATAATGAATCTTCTTCATACACGAAAGTTACTCATGGAGTTCCTCAGGGTTCAGTGCTTGTACCAATACTCTTTACATTTTATATGCTTCCATTAGGTAAACTTGTTAAAATTCAAATTCACTTCAAAAATACTTTATTAATCCCAGAGTGAAATTAAATGCTGTTGTAGTTCATCATCCTGGTTTCATTAAAGAGTTGTTATAGATGATGATGGCTGTGGGCCGGAAGGATCTCTTGTAGTGGTCTGTCTTACAACAAATCTGAAGAAGCCTCTGACTGAAGACAATACTCTGTTGTTGTAGGACAGTCTGAGGAAGAGGGTGCTGGGGATTGTCTATAAGTGTTTTTCAAAGTGGGGGCTGCGACCCCCTGGTGCCCTATGGTGGGCCCCCAGGGGGGGCCTTAGGAAACTGGAGAGAAGTTTTTTTTAAAAGCAAAAATATATATTTTTTAATTAAAATTTTACATTTTTTAAATTACTGTAATAAAATCAAATCTATTTTTCAATAATTATTTTAAAATGTATTTTATAATATTGTATTGAAATATTTTTTCACTATGCTCATCTTTCTGATTGGCTGTCAGTCAAATGTACCAAACTGCTTTACTCTGCAAACTATAGCAAGGACGAAATGAAGAAGTTTCTAAAAAGACCGAAGGAACTGAGCAGCAGCCCTGCTGTGGTGGAAACTGCTGCTGCTGCAAAGTAAAAAGAAAACCCAAATAAGTATGGCTTTACAGTCAGTTTCTCCTGAAATCTACAATCATCTCCTTTGTTTTGTTCACATTCAAGATGAGATGATCGTTTCCACACCATGCTACAAAGTGGTCCACCAGTTCCCTGTACTCAGCATCTTGTCCATCTCTGATACACCCGGCCAATGCAGAGTCATCTGAATATTTCTGCAGATGACAGGAGTCCGTTTTGTACTGGAAATCTGAGGTGTACGGAGTGAAAAGGAATTAAACATAAGGAATTATTAAACAGCCTGGGATGTTGCATCAAGAAGGGCATCCGACGTAAAAATAATTGCCATGTCATCGTGTGACTTGTGGCGACCCCTGAAGGGAGCCGCCGAAAGAAAAAATAATTAAACAGCATGGGATAAATTTTCATTGTTATGCTGATGATACACAGTTATATTTGTCCATGAAAATCAATTAATCCAATCGGCTACTTAGACATGTCTTAAAGACATAAAAACCTGGATGACCATAAATTTTCTGCTTTTGAACAGACAAGACTGACGTTTTAGTTTTTGGACCTGAGCATCTTAGGAATACATTTTTCAGTATTTCTCCCTCCTTGGATGGCATTAATCTGTCCTCCAGCTTTAATGTTAAAAATCTTGGTGTTATTTTTAATCAGGACATGTCTTTTATCCCCCACATTAAAAACATTACTAGAACCACCTTCTTCCACCTGTGTATTATCACTAAAATGAGAAACATCTTATCTGAAAATGATGCAGAAAAACTGGTTCATGCATTGTCACGTCTAGACTGGACTATTGCAACGGTTTGTTGTCTGGGTGTCCAAATACGTCTTTAAAAAGTCTTCATTTGATTCAAAATGCTGCTGCCAGAGTCTTAACTGGAGTTCGTAATAGAGATCATCTCTCTCCAGTTTTAGCTTCTCTCTGTTGGCTCCCTGTCAAGTTCAGAATTGAATTCAAAATCTTACTTCTAACCTACAAAGCTCTCAACAACCTAGCTCCATTTTATATTCGAGATCTTATTGTTCCATATTTTCCTAACAGAGCACTTTTCTCTCAGACTGCAGGCTTACTTGTGGTTCCTAGAGTTTCCAAAAGCAGAATGGGAGGAAGCTCTTTCAGTTATCAGGCTCCTCTCTTGTGGAACCAACTTCCAGTTTCTGTCCGTGAGGCTGACACATTGTCTAGTTTTAAGAATGAACTTAAGACTTTCCTTTTTGATAAATCCTATAGTTAGGGTTGGGTTTGGTTTCATGAGTTAATAGCTAATTAATTGCTAATTAATTGCTAATTAATTGCTAATTAATTAATCATTTATTAATTGGGCTAATTAATTAACTAATTGGGTTAGACCAGGGATTCCCAAACTTTTCCATGCCGTGGCCCCCAAACAGCATTAACTTCTGGCCGAGGCCCCACTCACAAACCCACAAACAATGCTAAAAAATATGTAAAGAAACATCAACTTTTAGAATGTTTTGACTTTTATTCACTATATTCTATTAATTTTTACAGCTGCCGAGTATAAAAATGTTATTAACCAACATGTTTTATATTCCCACTGGAAAGAAAAAACAGCTTTTCAACAAACTGTTGACCAGAAGAACAAAAGAAATCTCTCTCTCAAGTGTATTTATCTGAAAATGACAGAATGCTCTCATGTGCAATTTTTATGATTATTACTATTTTTTTAATCTTCTCTCCAGCTTTGCGGCCCCCCTAGCGCCCCCTGGTGGCCCCCACTTTGAAAAACACTGGGTTAGACTGCTGGAGGACAAACTGACCACATGTTCTCTCTCTGTCTTTACTTGCTTTACTCTTCCTGTTTGTAATTATTTCTATCATAACGTGTTTTGTCTTTCCTCTGATAGAAACCACACCTGGACCTGTCATTCTGCTTGTTTCTACTTCCTGTTCCTCTCAAACTCCAGCTGGTCAAACAGATGGCCGCTCGTCCAGAGCCTGGTTCTGCTGGAGGTTTCTTCCTGTTAAAGGGAGTTTTTCCTTTCCACTGTCTCCTTTGTGCTTGCTCAGGATGAGAGACTGTGACAAAGTGAAGATTCAACACAACCTGCTGCTTCCTCAGATAAACTTTAACTGTCTTTTTTAATATCCTGATGCATGCTCAATAATTCAGGTAGAAAAATCCAAAAAAGTTCTATCTGGTCCTCTGGACATTCAAAAAAAACAAAAAAAAAACAAAGCAAAACAACAAAAAATGTACATTTTACATTACATTTTTCCATTTTTTGTTGTTTTGCTTTGTTTTTTTTGAATGTCCAGAGGACCAGATTGAACTTTTTTGGCGTCTTTTTTAATGTCTGTGAATGTTTCTGTTCAGTGTCCTGAGACGACTTCTGTTGAGACTCGGAGCTACAGAAATAAACTGGATTGAACGGATACATTTAACAAAAACACCTGAACTAAACTTTTCTCAGTAATTATTAAAAACTTAATTTTTTTCCATTTTAAAATAAACTTAAGACATCTACAACTTATTTTGTTGTTTTTTTACGAGTTGCTTTTGTTAGATGCTCACATTCCTCTCCTGTGGGTGTTGGCCTTGGACCCGCCCCCTCACCTGCGCCTCAGCCCACCTGGATGTCTTTAAAAGCGGCGGTCAGGTCCGTCTCCCCTCACTTCTCTCCTCTCCTCTCTTGAGACAGACAAGCACCTCCTCCTCTTCATCATGGCGACCATGATGTACTCCTCTTCAATGAGCGGCGGCGGCGGCCTGGGCCGGGCGTCCTTCGGATCCGGCAGAGGCATGAGCTCGTTCAGCGTGGCCGGAGGGGCCGGAGGCGGTGGCATCCGGGTCTCCCAGGCCAGCCGGTCCTTCTCCTCTGGTGGCGGCGGAGGTTTCGGCTTTGGAGGAGGCGCAGGTGCAGGTGGAGGTTTTGGCGGGGGTGCAGGTGGAGGATTCGGCTTCGGAGCTGGTGCAGGTGGCGGTTTTGGTGGTGGTTTTGGTGGCGGAGCCGGGGCGGACGACAGCGTGATCGGCAACGAGAAGTTCACCATGCAGAACCTGAACGACCGCCTGGCCAACTACCTGGCGAAGGTGGCGGCGCTGGAGAAGGCCAACGCCGAGCTGGAGCTGAAGATCCGGGAGTTCGCAGACACCAAGATCAGCCCCTCCGCCAGGGACTACTCCCCCTTCTACATCACCATCGCAGAGCTGCAGGCCAAGGTGAGTCTACACCTGGGGGGGCTCTCAGTCCTGCAGGGGGTCTTTATTCAGCACAATGTAACAAGAAAGTTCTGATCCAATCAGATGAACACCCTAACAAACTCCAGTTTAATACGAGGGTGAAAATAAAGATATTTGAGTTTTCTTCAAAGAGCAAAGATAAAGACGTTTCAGTTTTTGTTGTTCTTACAGAAACAGGAAATAAAAAAATAAAACATACCATTTATTTTATCAATTATGGCACCACTTGTGTTCCACACAAACAACAAAACAGAAAAGTAGAATGACTAAAAGATTCGTTCAGTAATGTGAGGCAGAGAGAGGTAATTGTGAGCTAACGGTGATTGGCTGGAAGCCTCAGGTGAACCACACCCGAGTGTGGAAGGGATCCAGGTGAAGATGCCACACCCAGGTACGATCACCTTACAACCGAAGGCAACGTGCAGCCCGAGCTCTGACTTTTAAAAACAGCAGCTCTCGTTACTTCTGCTGAAATCTGGTTTTATTTTCCTGTGGTTTCTGTGTTGCAGATCCAGGACGCCATCATCGCCAGAGGTACCGTCTCCCTGAGCATCGACAACGCCAGACTCGCTCAGGACGACTTCAGAATGAAGTCAGTCTCATTTTTAAACTTAACTCTTCATTTCATGGGTTTTTCTTTCCCATCAAACCTTCATGTGTCAAACATTTACTAACTTGCCATTCAGAGAGCAGAAAGGTTCAAGAGCCGCTCAAACGTTCTCCTGCAGCAGAGCAGCGCCCCCTGCTGGCCGCGGGTCCTACTGCAGCCAGGAAACCTTTAGACCAGGGCTGTTCCGACTGCTCAGGGGCCACAGTTACTGGGAGCCAACAGCTCAGGGGCCACAGTTACTGGGAGCCAACAGCTCAGAGGCCACAGTTACTGGGAGTCAACAGCTCAG